AGAGTACTCCCTAGTCGGTGACAGGAAGGACCTGCAATTCTGAGAGGGCTTCCCCAGGGCAGTGGAGGCCAGGCTGGTCTCGTCACGCTGAACATGAGTGAGGGCACACAGCCCAGCTCGTAAGCCCCCAACGTGGGGCCCAGCCCCCACACGGGCGAGGACGAGAGAAGCTGCACTAAAGATAAAGAACGATACAGGATTCCGACTTCGAACACGGGGAAAAGCGGCACTGCTTTGCATGGCCTCGTCAGCCAAGCGCGGGCCGACAGACGCTGCCGCTGCTCGGGTGCAGGGAAGGCATGGGTCTCACGCTTGGGATACACCTGGGAACCATTTCAGCAGCATAATTATTCCGGTGTGGTTGGTCAGAGGGCTTTACCTGGAACTAACCGTACGGCGAACTGCGGGGTGGACTGATGCATTTCTCTGCTGAGAACTCTCAGAACTATTTGACCTACGAACGCCACGTGCACGAATAAAAAATGATGAGCCCCTAGGAGTGAGTGCCAGGCTGTAGAAGAATGCTATGGTATTCTAGGAACAGGATGCGAGTGCATAATTAACAGCGCTCTCCCAATGCACATACGCAAAGGGGCAGAACCCAGGCTACCATGCATGGGCCTACATTCCCTTTGTCTAAGTCACAGCTATGACCTGGGTGAGAATGGCAGAGTATTACACCACGTTTAGAGTCCACTCTGCCAGGGAGGGAAGGAACCTTTAGGCAGACCAAAGTAGTAAAAAGAATCTGCATTCTACACCTGGTCCCAGCTGATCTTGTTGGGAAAGTTCCCTAGTAAAGTGACCTATGCTAATGCCGTCTGCCGATGGAACTGCTGGGGAATGGGATGGGAACGTGTGGCTGGGGCAGTGACCAAGCATGTCTCTCTCTGGCACAGACTTCAGAAAGAGGAGTATTTGGACACGCAAAGGAGACGACTCCTTGGAGACAAGGACCAAAGGAGAGTTCTGTGGGAAAGTTCATCTCTCTCACTGACACCTTGTCTCTCTAAAATAATTTCGATTGGTCAAGACTACAGAGGATTTGAGGAATTCTGCAAAGACCTATGAGCCACTGTTATGGGTGAAGTGATGGGGGAAAAAAACCAAGCACCAACTAAGATCTGGGGAAATACATGAAAACCCTGGAAAGGCAGTGGAAAACCACACTGAATGACATTTAGGGCTGCAAAACAGTCAGCATCTGAAAAAGCAACATGGAATCGGAGCTGGGCGCAGGAGAAGAAATTAACACAGATAGTGACAGTCTCTGAACTTAGACTTTCCCGCTGGCGTTTATTTGCAATCTTCTGAAGTTAAACTCATTCAAATTGTTCGCCCCACGTACTCCAAAAATTAAAGCAGGCACTTACCAGTGGGCTGTGCTTCAAGTTTATTAAACAAATCTCTCCAGGTTAAGTCTTGGAAGAAGTTGTTGTACCTGTGATCTACAGAGCCTAGATACTTCGCCACGGGGTGAGAACCTGAGAGGAGAGCAAAAAGCCAGTTGCTCCACATGCCGAATGCACTGACAATTAGGCTGACCAACTATGTCAGCCAGGGGCCAGAAAAATCCACCCCCCCGACAAGGTTAAGTGATCGAAATCCCCATGCCCGTGGAAGCATTCTCCCGTCGACTAGCCACCCACCTTTCAGGCCATGTCCTCACTGAACGGAAGAGCCACTCTTGTGTTTACAGTTAGGGTCCCAAAGAGAAGTGCCCTGATTTTCGGGGGGGAGGGGGAGAATAAGCATCTGCAGCACCAGAAGCAGAGCCTGGCAGGTGTCTCCCCAGCTAGGAATTGCCTTTCACTCTAGCTAACGGTGCCTCTTGGGCAGCTCCCACTCCTCCTCCGAGGAGAGCGCCACGCAGCGAGGGTGCCAGCGCCATGGAGAACCGCACCCTGAGCTGTTCTCACGACCCACGTGCTGATGCATGGCTCTGTTCCAGCTGCGCAGCATAACCTGGCTCCGTGGACCGACAGTCTGAGCGCAGCAGCCAAACCGGCTTCCCGCTGAGACCTGCTGCCCTTTGGCTCCCCGAGCAGACCTAACCATCCCAACGCTTCAGCAAAAGCAACCAACCCAAGGAAATAGGCTGAGAAACTGCTGAGGAGAGAAATACTTGGAAAATGCTGAGACGCCTCGACCCGGCTCTTTAGTGTGGCCCAACTCCTGCAAAGGAAATGCTGCAAGTTATTGTGATAGCAGCATGTACATCACAGCCTGCCTTCCTCTCTGCAGGTACCAGGGCTCCAGTGCTCCCAAAGGCTGTGGAGTATCTGTGTGCATGTCTCTGAGATGCTCTCTCCTCCCAATTCAGCTGTGATGTGAATGAGAACTGTTACAAAATAGGGAGGGGGCAGTTTAATTTGACCCAGACAAAGCTCAGGTTTTTTCCTCTAAGGGGGCAGGGAGAGGGAGAGAAGGAATCAAGGAGACATGTGAAATGTCAAGAGAGTCTGCCAAGAAAGGCTTGCAGTTCTTCCATACAAAACGCGTCCTAATCAGCTAGCTCGTTAGGCCTACTGCTCTTCTCAATCCGTACATACACACTTAGCAGCTCCTTTGCTTTTTCAGCTTTACCTCTTTCGGATTTGCATGGCCAGAGAAAGGGTTGACTGACAGCTGGCTGAGGAGGAGAGCAACACATTTAAAAACCGAGTTCTCTTCCATCACATTCCAGCCTCTGCCATTCTCTGCTCAACTGACATTTTTGGTCTCTGGGATTAGTTGTGTTGGGCAAGTAATGGAAAAGTTCCACAGCCTCTGCAAGCCTCTCGATTTTATCCTTGGGTGCTTCCAATTCTCCCAGTAGATCAACCCATATTTCCGCTGGGACTGTGACATTTGTGTCATGAGCCTATAATCTGCCCAAGAATCAGAGAGAGGTAGTCGTGTTAGCCTGAATCTGCATAAACAAGATGCAACTGACGAAGTGGGTCTTTGCCCACTAAAGCTTATGCTCCAATAAATCTGTTTGTCTATAAGGTGCCACCAGACTTCTTGTTGTTTAATCTGCCCAAGTTCCCGAAAATGCACCTCCAATTGTATTGTTGCTCGGTGGTATCCCCCTTTGTGTAAACAGCATACCATGGTTCAAATCAAAATCCTCCTTGTTATCAGGGCAAGTTTCAACACATCTATGTTCGCTGAATGCCAACAGACAAGAACTTCCTGAGCTCCCCAGCATTTCTTTGGAAGCTGGGGCATTGAAGTTTTTCTGGATAATCAAACAGAATTGGAAAAGCATTTATTTCTCAGCACATCATGCACAATGATCTTTAGGTCTGTGTTAAGTTATTTCGTTCTCAATGACTTTCAAATAGTTTTGAATACCCACCCACCCCAGGAATAAAAATGCATGCTTTTGAGAAGTTGCCCTTTGTTGTTCTGAGCAAATGGTGAAGATCTTGTCATACTCATCTCTCTGTTCTTGGAGGATATCTTCCATCATATGGACACAACGTGGTCTTTCTGGTCCTAGAATCCATGGCATGATGCACAAATGCAATTTTCTTATGTGGACATTCACAATCACAATTGGAGAATTTCTAATGTACCATCTTGCATTAATATAAATACATTTTTTTTACAACTTCTTTTTCCCTTCGTTTCTTTACACGTATTTAGCAATGGGCCTGTGAGCATAAGTCCCTTGGAAGACTATTTTACCACAAAATGATTCAATTTTTTCTTTCAATTGTTCATTCTCCACTAAATCAAAAGCAAGGTTATCAGCATAAAAGAGGTTGCAACTTTATCAGGTTCAAGTCTTTGCCTTTCAGTTGTTTCTGGCATCACCAATGCTTGATCTTTGGCAATTTTGGCTCCTGAATGAAGTCAATGCTGAAAAGCTGTTGGAAATTTAGGAACTCATGCTTAACTGTCGAGCTGGTTGGGAGTTTTTCGATTCAATGGCTTTTATTGGAAAACGCTGCTTTATCAAAACAAGTTGTTCATGGGAAAGGATCAGATGTCCCACATCAAAATTTTGAAGTTCTCAAAACATCTCACTTCGTCATTTTTAAACCTAAAACATTTCAAGACTTTCCACTTTCAAAATGTAAGTTAATTTTTGACGGATATGGTCTTTTTTAATTTTCAGTTTATGAAAATATTTGAATGAAACTTTTTGGCCTATTCAGGATAGGCCATTTTTCAAAATCTCAAATGTTTTTATGGGACCAGAAAACTGTTTCCTACCTGGCTCTACTTCAGTTATCACATAGTTCTGCCTCAGTGATAATGGCATTTACAGTGTCTCTGGCAGGATCAGACACTTCTGCATTTACACACGGAAGTTTCATTCAATGTCACATTTGATCCCAATGAATGATTTTGCCATCCACTGAGCTCAATAATAACTATTCTATCTTGCTACTTCAACTCTCTGAACTATGGTTAGATTTCACTGGAGAAGTACTGTCTGATTTCATTGCTTCGGTACATTTAATCACCTGATGGCCACCACCTCCTTTGCAATGGTGAGCCAGGTGAATTGATACGTTGAGGTACGGTCCTCACTGATCACTTGTTTGTAGCTGTCACAGTCTCTGTACTTAAAACGGAAAACAATCACTTACTGAAATCTAAACTCCGAGAGCTCAAATCTCAGCCAGCCGTGCTAGGTTATTAGGTACCCTACCCACTTCCCAGAAACTCTTACCCTCCCGCAAACCCAGCTCAGAACTCCACGCTTGCCTGCACATCCAATGACATGAGAGTCAACCCACTGGCCAAGCCTCTCTACAACCAGTCCCCCTCCTCCTCCAGGCTTTTGAACAGTTCTGAGACACGTGTAAATTGTTCCCAACAACCGTCACAAGGACCTTGGATCCTTTCCTCACTACCGGTTTTCAAGTTTTTCATTCACAGTCTGAAAGTTTAGACACTAGAAAATCTCAACTGACTTCAAATGTGTGTTGCGATCATGTCACCCTATGCGCTGAAAGAATGAAGAGAAACCCCCCTGAAAACTGATGCTACACTGAGCTCATTTTTTGCTGCATTCAACTACATCCAGGATGTTGCAGAAGAGCCTGGGTGAGCAGCGAGGATGGGGAGGAAGGAGGGAGATATGAACGGCCAAAACTTCCCCCTCATTTTACCTCTCAGCAGTTTCAGAGCCCATTTGGGTTTTTTATAGTTACCTTCTCTTCCATCTAAAATGTGTAACAATTTAAAAGAGCTTCCTCTTAACAGAGTATTAACAGCTTCTCATTTACTGTCTATGAACAACTGGAGCTACAGTCTCGAGGAGTCCAGAAGTTACTCCTTCAAACACCACTAGTGCTGTGGTATATCTAGCAATCACATACAGGATTGCTAGCAGAACACTGCCAAAATTCGTTACACACGCCAGTTAAAAGGACACAGCAAGAGGATTGAAGTTGTAGCATAGTAGCTCTGTCAACCTGCTGCGTTTAATATGGACTATAAATGGCTGCTTCCCAACAATACTTGGGATTTGGCATCAGGCATGTAATGATGACATTCACCGATGCGACAGGAATGTGATATTTAATCCTACAGCAGAGCAATATTGGTCTCCTTTCATAGCCAGCAAGGACGTGGCCTTTGGAACACACTCTAACCAAGAGTTCCCTGAAGAGCATTCCTGAGCGTGTGCATTTGATTTAAGCCATTCATCTTTCTGTGAAGAAAACAGCAACTTATTTACCTAGTGGGATGATCAAAAATCTCATGTAGCTGAGCCAGTCTGGGGTTTTGTGAGACAGCTGTTCTACAAAGAGCCGCAACACAGCACTGAGGTAATTCTGCGCTCCGGCCACTGCAATTTTAATGGGGTTTGGAGGCTGAGAATTGCAGTTACAGCTAGACAAAAAAAAAAGGGAACATATTTATAACTTCTAAAGAACTATTTTCAGATTACGTCGGAAAGATGCTTGAGAGAGCCAACCTAGCTAATGGATGCGGAACAGCAAAGAGCCGTTCTAACGCGTAGGACAATCGTACACAGGGCAGCATCTCACAATGCATTAATAAAACGTGAGAGTTGCTTTAGAAACACGTCCTTTCCACAGTCCTCCTGGTTCTCTCCCTCCCCGCCATTCTTTCCTAGCTGTGAAACCCTGCTCTTGGGTCTCCTGCATAGGAGCCAAGTGCCATTATGTTGGGAACACATGGCAAGGCCCTGGGACCCTACTCTGCAGTATGGTTCCCATCTCCACTGCCGTGTTAGAGCCCCACTCCCGGTCAGCGGGCAGGGGACAGCCACGGGGCTTTTCTCGCAGCGCGGATGCACCTTCGTCCTCGCCCGCTTTTACAAACCACTTAGACATCTTCCCCTCAGTCTCCTTCCTCAGGCCTCTAAGCATTTCCTCCCTGGGGATTAAGCCTCGCACCAGAGGCTAGCGACATGCAATACGTTTCACGGGGAACGGTGTGCAAAGCATGACCCACAAGCATTTGGTCTTATCCCTGTGCTCATGCTGCCCAACGGTAACAACAGCTAGGAATTTCCCGTCTTGTCTCTGAGAAGAGGCTCCCAGTGCCGGAGCCAGGGTGCCTCGATGCTGGATAGTCGTGCCTGCGACAGTCGTGCCTCTAGAGGGGACTCTCGAGACCGCAGTCACGCGGACTGACCAGTGCCTGCCATGCTGAGGGTCGCTCTGCAGACCACTCGGGAAAGAGACCCTTGTGTGTCCCGCCTCAGAGGTAACGGAGCCCATGGGCTGCAGGAAGACGCTGTTCCTCAGAGAGGACTCTTTCAAACACATGGTGGGACGTGACCCCGATCAGCCTCCCTGGGAAACAGGGCGCCGTTTGCCCGCAGCTCAGCTCCCTACAGGAGAGGCGACTTGCAGCCAGCCAACGAAGGGGCTGCCAGAGGACCGGCGGCCAAGGGCCCGGGGGGCGCCCACCCGCCCGGAGGGGGGG